TAAAAAAATATTTCCCTCAGTAACAGAAGAACATGCATCAACACAAAAGAACAATAAAGAACGTTCAGGCATAGCTTCTGAAAAAATGGCGACTGTCAGATTTAGGCACAGCTGGGATTTCACCTTCATGGCGCGGCTGAGAGACCATAATTGAACGATGACTGCATGGACTGATAGTATGGCCGAAATAATGACGAAATCACCGTTAATGAGCGGCCGGCGTGTGACCGTCGACGTAAAAGTTCCTGGTTGCGGGCGGCAAAGTGACTACCATCCCATCCATGCTCCTGGAGATGATGATCTGACAACCGAGACGCGAGTTTGATTTAAGGAACGGTGCTAAATCCAGCATGTCGTCTTCCGCTTCAACGGGCGGTTCGAGGTCATCATAATGCTGTTGATCGAGGTACACGTGGCAGGTGGTACAGGCGAGGGATGCCTCGCATGCACCTTCCATTTCGACGCCATGTTTTCGGGCCAGAAAGAGTAAATTCTCGCCTACCTCTGCCCTCACCGTCACGCGTTCCCCATTTTTCCGTACAAATATTATCGTCACTGTTTCTTCCCCTTCACCGCTTCCTGTGCTGTATTTGCAGAGACGGCGCTCATAAGAGGGCATTAAAGCAGGTAAAATTCCTTGAAAAATTTTCCCATTACGAAGTCGACCAAAATTGCGACTGTGAAAGAACTGTGAGGCACGATAACAACAAACACAACGAACAACAAAAAGTTTAGCACTACTACCAAGCATATTCGTATTAACTACAGTAAGCACCAGGTTCGATAATACCTGACGATCAACCAGAGAGACAGCTGTACTTCCACGACGGTGCCACTGCAAAATCGGACAAAGTTGTTCTCCCCGTTAGCAGTTCTGGGGATGAAGATGTACGAAAAACTTAGCTTTATTAGCTTGTTTCTCTTTGCTGCAAATTTGGCTTCATGCAGTGGTAAGTGATTTCAAGTTTTACTTAGTTCTGACTATGTAAGGACATTGGAGGCAGAAACCAGTTTATGAGGCATATAGCTCGAATCTGTTTCATGGCTTAAGGACTGATTTTCGTAAATGATGTGTTTTAATAGGTTTTATATAGATCTTGATGTCCAAACTTTAAATTTGAGCGAAATCACGAAACCAAACCATATTTTACCAGAAGTCCAAAACTGTTGTTTTGCTTGTTTATGCTCAACTGCGGTAGTTCTTTCTCAGCGGTAGGTTATTTTGTCTTGTAACTACTGTTTCATTATCATTTATTATCACCTCAATAGACGAATTTCCTTACCAGCAGTTTTGCCTTAGTATCTAACTGAAACTAAAATAAAGTAATTGCAGTGCTAACGAAGCTTATCGACTGAAGACTCTTAATTTACCGGAGGACAGAAGCAGTTAATTTAAATTAGTTTAAACATCTAGCCTTATGTATTCATTCTATGCATTGTTTTCTCTTTCAATAAGCAATTTTTTGGCTAACTACTTTGTATAAGCTAACAGGCAGTTGTCTTATTGATTAAGTATGAAAACGTAGACCGTCTGCATCCGTATTTGGACACTTTAAATAACGAGTTATGGTGATATGTATGCTGACTAAAAAATCTAAATATCAAGATTTGCTTGTTGTTTGCCTTTTTTGCCAAAAAGTAGGTGTCAATACCTCTGACATCAATTTAAACTGTAACCAAGTAAGCTTAATCAAAGCTCATCTATGAGATCTGTCAATCAAGGAAATTTCTAAATCTCTGTCTTTTCAAGGGTCCCGCGATGAGAACAGTTTATAAGCAAGCTCTATTTATTTTTAGTATTGCTAAATTGTTTCCACACAGCTGGTTTTGGGTTTTATCGACCAGGCTATGCGAGAGAGGTTTGGAATTACTTCCTTAATCTTCGGTAACAGCAGATATCTACTACTTTGCAAGATGCTACGAAGTATAATCTACTATTTAACGTCATATTTGCAGAAAAGTAGAAACGTAACAAAGAGGAGGAAGGAAGAGAAATAGGAAGAAATAAAAAGAGGCAGATTCAGAAAGAAAGAATATCCTAGAAAGAATAAAAAGATGATTGAGATGAATCTTATTTTTATCTTAAATATGATACGTACAGTACATACAGTTGCTTCAGACTCTATGCTTGAGACTTTCTGCAAGCTAAAGTAAGGTTGTTGTTAATAGTAGTCACTCCTTCAGCCTAAAGATCTAATACCATTTTCATAACTAGCTGTTTGTTTAATACTTTAATACCTTCTTTCTTCAGGTACTGGATGCAAGAATCCACAACTTGTCGAGACTAGTGGACACTCGACCATAGACGGCTTCTTTTTCTATCGTACAACCATTGTCGTTCAGTTCACCGTCAAATGTGACATTCCCTCAAAGGTAACGTATTTCTGTCGTTTTAGCGTTTTTATGACGTTAGATATTTCTGTGGTTATTAGTGATGTTTATTTCTGCATTCAGCACCTGCTTATATATAGCCTGTGACTCAGTGAGAATTATTACATAAAAGAAAAGATGACACTAATGCAGAAGGATTCATTAGGTAATTTTCCTTAATCACGATCGAATTTTTGAGCAGGTCAATCCATGTTCCTTTTTTTTAATCCGTCTAACCTGGCTTCATTTTAAAATGCACTGCAGTATAGAATATACCCTCTCCGTCCGTGGGTACCCGTCATCAAAAACTCCATTTCTTCACCATTGGGTTGTAGAGCTTTTAAGCAAACTCTGGCAAGTAAGTAGGTCCATAGAGCAGATTACAGTCTTGAGAGTTTACCTCGATGGCATATATGCCCCATTCTCTTGAATTTCCTACCAGCTTGACGCGGTCATCTGCAGCGGATAATCACGTCGGTGATTACACCCTTGTGAAGCAGGCCCGTGAGATATGGGTCGAAACGTCAGTATTAGTTTGTCATTCGATAGATCATTGTATTTTGTTGTGCCTTGATATGCACTTTTCAGGTTTATCCTCTGTACGCCGAAGTTGATGGACAGGTGATGTATGCTGCCCAGTCTGAAGACCGGGATTCGTATCAGATCAGTTGGAGCATCAAACATAAAGATGCATATGGGCGTCGGTACGAGATACGTGTCTACGACGATGACGGATATACAGAATTGAAAAAGGTTAGTTTATCACAGAAATGAATCCGTGGTGCAAGAGTATATATAATTTGTTTTCGATTTTCATTCTAAAGCTAAAAGCAAGTAGCTATAAATCGTGTAGAAATGGTTACTTCTGTGCACCTGTCTGAGGGTAATAAATTCGGTTTCTTTAAATTTACTATCTTTCAGAAAATATAGAGAATTAATGACAACTCGTCCAATATCTAGAACAGTTGATTACTGTAGTCAAAGTGTAGTTAGACTTGACATTTACATTTTATTCCAGCTGTTAATAGACTTGTAAAAGCGGACGGTTATTAAAGTTAATGGTTCAGTAGTCCATGATTAAATATTTCATACTGACTGATGCTAGGCAATACGAGGCGGGGAGAAGACGAAAGGTGTGAAACCGCTGTTCACCTTCACGTACGATCATAAGGTTAGTAACAGAAAAATTTGCTTTCCTTTTTGTAAGTTTAAAAGTTGTCACTTATAGGGTCTTTCACGGGGTCCGATGCTGTCCACCGAAACCGTCGTTCTGCTTTTGATCATCGCCGTTTATTCCTTTGCCTACAGATGGAAATCATCTCTGTGATTTATTGTTTTATACTGCGATGATTTTTTTTTGCAGTTTTGCATATTTTCTTGTTTTTTGTTCACCTGATTGTTATAAATGAAAATTGGTGAGGGTGTTGTTTTGTTTGAAAATATTTTTTAAGTAAACCAAGATTCTGTCTGCCAGTCAATGATGTTCATACAGCGAGGCCTCTGGGTGCAACGAACGGTTTGACTATCGGTTGGAGCAGAACCCGCATCAATTCCTGTGCTGTTGTTTCGACCTTAACTCAGTCAGTTTGAGACCAGTAAGACCAGATGTTCAGCCTTTCGCCAATTTGCTTGCTTCGGGATGCATTACTTGTTCAGGTTGAAGGGATACTTTGGGGAGCTCCACGTGATTCACGTTTGCTCTTATGCCAGTACAGTTGATGGATTTTTATCATTTTCCGTTAGGTTGATGTAGAAGGAATTGTAATTTTTTTGACTCAGTTAATAATTATAATAGTGCAGTTTTACTCAGTATCGTCTTTCAGAACCCGCGTATTTTTGGCTACTTAGCAGTTGCTTTAGGAAGCTTTTCAAATGGTCTGAATGTGCCGGTAAACGAATGAGCTCGCTGCTATGGATTCCAAGACATGAGAGGGCTAGCTCTTATGTAGTCGAGCCATTTGATCCAAGATCTGTCCCTGCTCAATCTTCCAGCTCCTATGCTGGCACAGTTCGTTGTGATTTTTCTCTGGCATCCCCATTACCTGTCTAAAACATCGCAGCCGTGATCTTTCGATGTGGAGAAAGAGCGATTCACAATTGACCGTATTTGTAACTATGTCGAGTTTCGTTGTACCACCATTCCTTACACGAAACCTCATTTTTCCAGGTCACACTTTTCAACAATCAGTATCTGATACCTGTGATCCTGGATAATTGGACGAACTTGTACAGGCTTGAAGACAGATAGCTTCGTGTTACTACTCCGCTCCTTCTTCAACGCCATAAACCGGTTTCGCCTCTGCAGTGCTCGCACGACCGGTCCTTGTGTTTATTTCTACGTATGCATTGGATTTCACTGACCTGCTGAGCGTATTGATCCGACTGTCTTGTGAGCAGTTATCTTGAATGATATATTTATAAACCTATCAAATGCGGAGTAATATCTTCTAATCGGAATTGTTTCTTAACGGTTTTGTTTTTTGCTGCTTTTTAATGGTGGTAAGCTAGATGTCACAAAGAAGAAGGCTGCATTCAGGAGATGGCTTAGAAGGAAAGTGCGTTTAACTGCCATGCGGAAAAGTGCGCAAGGGAACAACAGCGAAAAAAGTGGCAAAAGCCAAAGGTGATCCCTGTTAGAAGTTCGGTGGTGTGGAGTCGAATTTCCACACGGCAAACAAGGTATTCTGGCAGACCTTCCGCCTCCACTGAAGTGAAAAGAAGTCCTGAAAGACAAGTCTGAACACCCCCTACCGAAGACGAAGACATTCTTCGACGATGCAGAGAGAACTTTCACGAACTCCTCAGCCTCGAGCAACCGCACTAAGACTTGCCTGTACAGCAGCAGTATTTTTGTAGATAAAATCACATAAGCTGTGAAAGGCATCAGATGTAAAAAGAATGCTGGAATCGATGAAATGCTTAAAGTATTAGGCTTACATGGCGTGTGTTGGCTTACAACTGTCTCTAAAACTGCAATGACTGCAGGAAAGACATCGAAAGGCTCGAGAAGGAGGTTGCAGTACCGCTGTTCAAGATGGGAAACTATAGGGAGTGCTCCAACTATCGAGGCATTACTTATTGAGTCTCCAGGGCAGAGTCTGCGCCAACGTGTGAAAAAGGTGACTGGTTCCAAAAACCAGAAAAGCACTGTAGCTTCTGGTCTGGCCAAATCTGATCAGATATTCGCTTGTTGTTGAGAAATTGTGGGATTTCACTCGTCCGGTTTATACGTGCTTTGTGACCCAGAGAAATCCTATGGTCGAATCCAGCGCAAGAATCCATTGTTATGCCTGTGAACATGTGATCGATAGCCAATTGCTACGGACCATCCAATCTCTATATGCTGATGGCACGGAATGGAGCTTGTTGGCGCCGACGGCCGATGGTTGTCTACGCACTGAACCCGTATAACTGGACAGTGGTCAGCTACATTGTTTGTGGGGTTCACCCTATTATGTTCTATATCAGTGGATAGCTCTCTGTGAGTGAAGTACGATGCGGTTATGAAACTAGCAAATTTCTTATTACAATTCCATTGTGAAGTCCCTGCGACGTCAGTGCGCAGCCTGCGATCGAGAGCCTATATCATACTTCCCACCGATACGGGACGCGCGAGTAATGGAGCATATCGAGGATGACAATGTTCCTGTCGAAACGCGATCAGGAAAAATTTTCGTCGAAGGGCTTTTGCTACGTGTTCGACAGCAAGAGTAGAGATAGAACAACGAAGATTTTTTTTGGGGGGGGGGGACAAATATTATTGCACGGCAGGGATTCATACAGCAGGTAGAACGATTATTATTATAAAACTGAAACTTAGTTAACGCTCTTATGACAGTTCGGCCGTTGGTGTGGGGGCAAGCAAACATGTCACCAGGATTAAACGGCGTGCGGAAAAATTTACTGCAAGCAGCTGGGGGTTGCTAGAAAACATAACGCTGAATCTGGTCAGAAGGCTTTACTTGCAAGCACAGCGTACATACAGATGGCAACAACTGCTTACACGAGAAATCATAATCTTCATATGTACAAAATAATCTGCCCGTTCCAACGCTGACTGACCCTATTATACCCTTGCGGATTATTAGTACATCCTCAATGACCAATCCAAGTTTACCTGCTGGCTGTGCTTCTGGTACAAGGTGCGCTTGTTTTGCAACGTGCTAGACGCGTACACTCCGTCCTTTGTTCGACCTGCGTTTCCGGTCCCTCGTGGGACGCGAGAGCGCCTTGCCCTTTTGTTCGCTTCACTTCTAAGGTGGCGTGCAGAGATCAGGGAGGGCTCCGTATAATTACTTCCGCTTCGTTAAAGTCAGTCGTCGCTGACTGTTGCAATATGGAAGGGATCGTACAACTAGTTAACAAGTTCAATGTTAGACTCTCGCAAGGAGCTTAGGACTCGTTTCAAAATCTTGCTGTTCTTAAGAAAATCGTTATTAGAAGAAGGAATGACAGGAACGCTGCTGCAACAGCCCCGCTGATTTAAGAAACATTGGTTTTGCCGGAATCGCATAAAAGATGCGAAAAGCAATCAGGCTGTTCCTGATTGCTAACGGTAGACCTGGATCTAATCGAACACTGATATTTGGCAGGCAGGGAAACCTGCAAATCTTAGGCATATCAAGAACGTGGTTTGCAGATGGAACTTT